CACCAAGGCCGAGACGCGGACCTGCTGGTCAATCGGTTGGTAGACGCTTGGAATATCTTTATCGCATTCTTGGAAGCTGGACATGGCTGTCTGAACAGAGGGTTATCCGGGTATTTCGGGACGTCGGTCAGGAGAGGTGGCCGAAATCAGCATGAGCTAAAGAATGAAGATCGATCGAACTATCTGCGATGGGACAGACATAAGCTGCCGCGTCTCCTCCTCGCCGATTTCGTTTTGGGGCGGAAGCCAAGTGGATCGTGGTTGAGAGAGAAGTCGTCGCGTCTCCTTCACCTGTTGTTTATTATATCGATCGCCGGCGGGCTAGAATCCTACCCGATACGTAAAGCATGATGCTTTCCGCCTTTTGGGTTTTGGCTGCCATCGGGCTGGCCTCCACCAGCGAAACACCAGCTTCTGATGCTGTGACCAGCCTTGATCCAGGGTTGTTCTCAGGCGGATGTACGCCAGAGAAGATGAGCATTCGAAAGGAGTGGCGGAATATGACCAAGGTTGAACAGAAAAGCTATCTCAAGGGAGTCAATTGTTTGATGGATCTTCCTGCGCAAACGGGGCTAGAGGCCACCACGAACCGCTTCAGCGATCTGCAGGCTTTGCATCGTGCCCTTACTGACACCCCGGTGGGTGACATTATCCATAGTGTGGTGAGTTCGTTCGCGATACACAGTGGCAGAGCCGAATCTGACAAAATAGGGCCAATTCCTGCCCTGGCACCGTTACTTCCTGCATGTATATGAAACATTGCTGAAGGAGCAGTGTGGCTATACCGGCCCGATGGCGTAAATTTTGCCCCCCCCCTCATTGGCACAAGAAGAAAGGAAGCTGACTAGATTGGAGATGGTGGAATGAGGCATACGATACGGACTCCGGGAATTTGTTCCGATCGGAGATGTGGGATGCAGATGCGTTTGGTGGCAATGGCACGGAACCTGATGGATGTGTGACCGATGGGGCCTTTGCGTACTACACGGAACATATTGGTCCCCAGGAAGAAAACACGGTGTTCTGTATGAATCGCAGCTGGGGAAATTACGAGGCGATATTGAATACCACCGGTGCGGCAGTCGCCCACTGCAATACATTCGACAGCTACGACGAATACTTCGCTTGCATTGCCGCCACGCCTCACCGAGGAGGTCACTGGGCGGTTGGTGGAGTGGTGAGTGCCTGGTTTTCCTTGACGCGAAAGGGGGTGGATTCAATGAGCTGACGCGAAAGTAAAAATACTAGATGTCGGATGTAAAGACCTCTCCTGGTGACCCGCTCTTCTATCTGCACCATGGCTACATCGACCGTCTTTGGTATCGGTGGCAGATGAATGATCCTGCCAAGCATCTGTGGGACATGGGCGGCCCTGCCATCAATGAATCGGCTAATGTCGAGCCCGCATCAGGCTGGCCACAGACAACCCTCAATTATACCTTGACCACATTCGATGTAATGCCGGACGTCACGGTAGCCGACGTGATGAACCCCGTTGGAGGATACCTCTGCTATAACTATGAAGCCTGAAAGGCTCACATTTTTGACTGGTCATGGCATTTCCCCCTAAAAATCGGGGGCCCGCGGTCTTTGTATTAGGTGATGGCAAAGCGGCGATACGAAGAATTCTCCGCTCCATTATAGAGTAGAGGGTCTGTGGCAGGCACTTGTGTTAGTTGCACGCATGTATAGTATCATCCTCGAAGCTTCTTGACAGGCACTGTGTATCATTACACTTCCACAACCGGACTTGCCCTCCCGGGCTTTGTAAACCGTAATTCCTTACACACTGCAGATGCGATATGTCACCTCGATCATTCGGTTCGATCATACATCGTTTGATTATGCCAAGACACGAATGTTGTCCATGATCGAAGAGCTTTTGACTCGCTGGTGGTTGCAGAGACTGACCGGGTTTCAGATGCAATTTGGCCTTTTCGAGCGGGGTGGGCATGGTGTCACTGTCACCTCTTTCATCCATGGCGGCCCATATAGAACCAGTGAGTATCGAGCAATTGGGCGGATGAAACTAAGTACTAGCCATCCCCGCCTCTGCCTTGCATCTGAACCGCAACAAGCCGCTCCCGCGTGACATGGGAGCAGCCGTGCCATCCACGCAGAATTTGCTTTCCAGTTCCGAATGTTCCTGGACCAACTCGGACGGGCAAGCTGGGGTAGGTTACTATCCTTCTCTGGGCTGATGCCTGGGATGATACTTGTCACTGTCTAGGAGACCATATGGGCACGTGACCTCTTTTCGACGCTGTTTCGAGAGCCCTTATCTACTGCATCGGGTGGGCAGATTGGCATCTAGAAGTTCACACTGTTCTGGATAGCCGTTTATCGTCGGTTTCTGTCTCGTAAGTCTGCAATATTACCAGCTGACGTCGCCTGCATGAGTCGTTGGCCTGCGCGACCGTCCCGAGCAGTATGCTGCTCATTCGTGCTGTAGACGGCCGGACGTCGTTTCTGTTGCGCGGGGGTTTGACCTTGACGATCTACCCTTCATCTGGTTAGATGAGTCTTCCGATCCCTAACATGGTTGCTACTTACTTAGTACTGCTCTGAATGAGGGGGAAGGATCATCAGTGGCCGGACAAAGGCAGGCAAGTGGTCACGTTGGGTCGGGCGGATCTTCATCCGATCGGGTGAGACAGACATTTGCTGCAAGAAGACTGTAAGTGCATGGAGTGTCGTAGATGATCATGCCCCGATCCGGTGATGGTCTGTTAAGTAACTTATGTGTAGGTGTATCCCTAGCTTTCGGCGAATTCCTACCTGCATTGGTGTGCTTGTCTCAGATGGCAGGCAACCTACGAGTTCACTCTCCACTACGACTTTGCTGTGCATTGACTTCTAAGGGCATGCAAGTGAAAGGTATACACACCCTGGCGATGTGCAAAGAGAGGCGCCGTTCTCTACATCATGTACAACTCCTTCCGATCAACGCAGTCTTGTTATTTGTGAGTTATAACCAAGCAGAATCTAGCCCTCGACGTTTGAGTCTGGCCCTCCTATCAGTACCCGCCACGACTCCTGCATGTCCAAGGGAGAGATGCAGGCATCACATCCTAAAGAAGTAATAAGAAGATACCAGTGGTTCAGAAGCCAGGTACTTTGAAGACCCAAGCCAATAGATGAAACCGAGCTGGTTGGTCCCATTATTACGAGGGGCGGAGAAACAACTTTGTAGTCAGTTGAAGATTTGCCAACTTGAAACATTTCTGGCCAGGTCTCTTTGGCCAATTTTCCAGACCAGGTGTCTCGCCACCAAAGGGAAAAAGGCGAGATGACATCCAATTAAGAGGATGGACCGGCATCGACAGCTCTGCCGATCCCTGGAACCGCAACTGGTGATCATTGGCCCAGTGGTGCGGGGAAGACAAGCCGGGGGTAACAGGCGAAGCAAACCTAAGCAGCAGCTGCTGCACAAGAAAAGTGGTGATGCCATCGGTGCCAGTGACAAAGATACCACGGGCCATGACGCCACCAAGTAACACCACAATAGACTCGCAGAAGAAGCAGTGAGCAGCAGCCCGTCACTTGCCGGCCCACCCCCACAATCCCAGCATCTGCAGCTCTCCATCCGTGGATCAGCCCACCGTCGAGCCAACCACATCAACCCACCCTGCCGTCATCTGATGCTCTTTCTCTGCTTTGCCCTCTGTCTCTGGTCTCCTCTCCATTCATTCATCCAACAAATGGAAAACTGATCGGCCCTTGCCAATACCCGTTCTTGAATCATCCCACAGCCGGGCCTCAAGCAATAAATAGCCCCTTCGGTAGCTGCTCGACTCGCTCTTCTCTCTCCCATCATCCTCAAAGCATCGCAGCATACATAGATCTACATAACCCTTTTTTTACTCACCTTTTGCCCTGCTTCATTCAAGATGCCTGCAGCCGGCCCCATGGACGACCAATGGGTCTCCTTCCACATCCGGGACCACCTGGACAAAGGCGAGATCTCCGTCCGTCACACCGTCATCGAAGGGTACGTCGTCTCCTTGACTGTTTGATGAAGTCTGCTCAATTGGTTCCATTGTCTGGTATACTAACTGATAACCTCATCGAATAGTGGTGAATTCCACGACCCCAATAACCGCAGACAGTCCCTCACCGAGGACGAGATTGATGAAATCACCATCCCCTCGTACGGCATCGGTGAGATCTGTGCTCGCGGTCGCCGCGGCAGTGAGGGCCGGCTGGACCTCTTCCACGACGAGGAAAAGATCTGTGAATTGCACTGGGATAATCGCCAGGGCAATGGCATGAACATTGTCGAGATGCTGGACAGCAATAACAAGTATCGCGTCGAACATGGGGGATGGAGCCCAGAGGCTGGACCTCTGGGCCACGTCTACATTGACATCTTGGAGCGGCAGAAGAAGAAGAATAGCAAATAACGGCGTTTGGGATTTCGGAGTTCTCCGGCGAGGTCCGGATGCAGCAGTGCTGCAAGGGAGGGCGTTAGCATATTTTGTTGGTCTTTCAATCGATTGATCGTGTCGAATGTTGTATAGGAGCTGGAAATCACATCATATTCAATAGTCAATGCGAAGTGAATACTCTTATTTCAAACATTGGGGCATGGCTAGATTAAGTAGTGCTTGAAATAAAATTTGTAGTTCTGGGCGAATCATATTACCAATCCTATGGTGCATGTGTGTTGTGGCACGGTGATTGCAATTCCTCGTGGTGATTGCGGATAGCCAGCAGGTGACCCAACGGGTTCAACCCCACTGCTAGTGTTTATAGACACTAGAAATCGTCCCGGTTAAATCGATGCAGCAACACTTTATTGACACGCAGATAGGGAAATATCATTCATTCCTGGGTAATTTGGATAACCACTAGTCGTCAATTCTGCAGCATGTCGAAAGCCACGCTGGCTGTTTGTTCCTCGTACCAATGAATGAGTGATATCCATTATTGGATATTGTGATTCGTTATGATATCATATTCACAGGATTCCAGAGTTCTTCGACGTAGTATGAGGCTAATCAGAGGATGGCAACACCATTAGGTGGACTAGCAACTCCACCAGGCACCTAGACTAGTTTAGCATCGAACCACCAACAAAATAACAATAATTTCGTACCTTCAACGGAACACTACTGAAGAAGAAGCTCCATCGGTTCCTCTTCCGACACTCTTGGCTTAATCGATCCAGATCAAACAACTCTCCAATGGGGAGGCCCCAGCCTGCTAGCAACCACTCATGCAACCAGAATTCAGTATTCTGACACGGCCATGCTTCAAAACTGGGCATGTCTCCCGCAACAGCTGCGAAGCCTTCATCCCAGATCCAGCGCAGGGTGTCTTCGGATGATTCAACACCAATAGCTGGTGGGATCTTGTGATCGGCGAGCTCTTGGCACTGTTCTGCGGACAGCTTTTCAAAGGCACGGGTCCAGCCTGTGCGGATAAATAGGATGTCTCCTCTTTTGAATGATGTTCCTTGATAAGCGGCGATGGCCTTTAGAGTCGAGACAGGGATGGATGTGGTAGCGAAGCAGTTGATTGATATCCCCTGTGCTTCCGCCCAGGAGGAGTGATCGAGGAGAACGCCGCGTCCTACAATCCCCCCATTTTCAACCCACACTGAGATGATCAGAACTGCATGCAGTTGTCGGAAAAGGATATGAAACAAACCATGAATCCCGTTTCTATCCTCAGTTTGGATCTCCTCCAGAGTACACCCGTTTAAGTAGATCTTCTCATTCTGGTAGCCGTAGTGCCGGAATCCGTCCCACTGAGAGCTAATTTGCGTGTTGAAAGAAAGGCTATCATCGTTCACAGCTCGCGGGGCTTTGTTCTTCACGACGTGTTCGAGTTTTGGACGGCCAAAACACGGTTTTTGCATACTGTTCAGTGACCAGTCGGTGGATATGCGGACCCCATCGATGATTTCTTTTGCTGCTTCTCTCGTTGTCTCGGGTGTGAGGCGATTCAGCATACGTAGCTGGTCCGTTGGACCAAAAAGGCCCCAGGCATTGCCGTGTGGACCGTCCTTCTGGAGAGGGAGAGAGTCAAAAGAGACAGAAGGCTCCATTGCAGGTGCTGTGGTGATGAGGCAAATTGGGCTCGTTAAAAGGAGGAAACCCCGGGATTATAGGAGACATCTCGGAGTTTATTATTCTGGGGATAATGCTTCATGTGTGGGGGTCGTAGGAATTCCAAAATATGGGGGAAGACCGTATTCGCAATGATGGTAGTAAGGGTTGATAGATCCGACCATGGCGAGGGGCGGATTTGGGTGCTTTTTCCGCACGTTATGATCAGGTATCACAAAGCTTGTTTGATATGCAAGATTTGTGCTTGATGGGCCCATTGATGAAATTTCTTCGAATGAAATAGATACTGAACTTCTTCGACCATGAATGTCTGAAGCCTAATGTTTCACACATTGTCACATAAACCAAGCGTCGCTGCGGCTTCGCCGGAAAACACCAGATAACACCAGAAACACCTTCGAACGCAACTCGCATGCATTTTACGAAAAGTAAATAAATCACTGCCTCATTCTGTCATTTCACTAATGCCTGCCAATTCTATATTCTTTCCAACCAGTCCCGTGCTATACCTCTTCCTTAACCCAGGCTGACCAACCAAGACTTTTGTAAGTGGGTATCGGGGCGGAAAAGCCTCCGACCTACCACTTTTCCGACGCGGATATCCCTTATTCAATTTAATGCACAGCCAAGGCTTGGAGTGAGCGTATAATTAGAAAGAATCCTTGCGATCGCAATCCATTGCTAACTCCTAGAAAGCAGCCATCTTTCCTGTGGTCCGGTTCCCTAGCAAATAACAAACATACCCGCCCAGACTAGCTTTGGCTAGTCCCCACAATTGATATTCCGGGGCCCCGGGCTACTGGACTAGGAATTGGCAGAGCAATTGGCTAGCGGTGAGTAGAAGATGGTCGCTGATGCAGGGTGTTTCTCAACTGCATTTCTTCTCTCTGACCTGTTAACTGGAAGGAATGTTTAATCGGAATGCTTATATAAAACAACCCATGTAACTATACGGAGACCATAATCTCAGAGCATCCGCTCAGCCGTTCTCTGGTATCTAGCCATAAGTGACACCAAATATGAATGATCCCAAAACAACTACAGACCATCTTGAGTCAGTGGAGCAAATTCAAAAGTTAGTCGAAACACAATGGCCAGCACAGTTCGACCCAATTCTCCTACGTCGGGTAATCAGGAAAGTCGACTGGATGGTGATTCCATTCATCTGCAGCACATATCTCATTACCTACATCGATAAAGCAATGATGGGCTACGCCGCTGTTTTTGGGCTGAAGGAAGATCTACATCTAAAAGGGACTGAGTATAGTTGGTTGGGTATGGGCAGCCGACCTCCATACGATAACACACTAACTCTGACAGGGAGCATGTTCTACTTTGGGTATCTTGCCGTATAGCTATCGGCCCAACCTGTAGACGTTATACTTTACTGACATGGGCAGTTTGAATACCCTTCGGTTTTTAAATGAAGCTGCAGCACGAAGGCAGCTGACACAGAAGAGGGGAATGAATCAGACAAGTCTATACTATATATAACGCTTTCCATCTCAATTGTATGATACTCTATTCCCCAACATACGCCACTCCAGTGATCGCACCCCCAATATCAGCCACAATGGTGTTCTTGCACGACCCATCCAAATTGGCACTGTACAACGAGCCGCCCAAGTCTCCAAAGAACATACGCTTGTTCTTCGTATCCAGAGCGATTCCAATTCCCTCATGAAGCTTGCGCACCAGAATCTTTGGTTCCAGCTTACTCACAGGCGCACTGGAAAGATCCACCGAGTTCACCGTATTTCCACGAGGTGGATCTCCACGATCCGTCCAGTACAGTGTCCTCGAAGCGTGATCTAATTCCAAGTCAATGGGTTCGGGAAGACCACTAATAAGACATTCAACATCTGTCCGCGACTCCGCTGACTCTCCCTGTCTCATCTCAAGCCCCATCCGATAAATCCGGCCAAGGTTGCCCTTTGACGGACCCTTCTGTGTCCAATACACCAATTGTGCCTCCTCGTCAACTGCAATGCCCACACACCAGTCGAGCACAGCCGGTGTGTCCGTGCCTTCGCTTGATGTGGCCTTGTATAGTACCTCAACCTCGCTTCCATCAAGGTTCGCTCGCATCACTCTCCGGCCCTCGCGATCAGACCAGTACAGCTTCTGGGATCGTGGAGCAATGATCAATTGCTTCGGGGTGTGGGTGTATCCCTTTGGGATGATGGTGACTATGTTGTTCCCTGAAAGATCACAGCGCTGAATAGACCCGTCATCGGCGGAAGGAATTCCCATATTTGTCCAATAGATATGTTGGCGGTCAGAGTCGATGGCAATACCGTCGGGCATGGTGTTGAGTTGTGTGATCAGCTCGCGGAAATTTGAGCCATCGGGCTTGCAGGTTAGAAGACGTCCATTGGGCTCAGAGTTCGAGATTCCAACGTCGAGGAAGTAAACACGTCCCATTGAGGGTGGGTCTGGTCGAGGTGCCATTATGATTGTATATATTTTATGTTTGAGTAGTAATAGTTGTGGTAATGGTGTTAAAGTTCGAATTGAATAATGATGAGAGCGAAGTGGAGATGCTGTGAGGATATATAAATGTTAAGCTGTAGCCGGAAAGCTTGGGACCAGCGTTGTTCAACGGCCACTTCAACTTCCGTACCATTACATCTTGAGCGATTAAGTATCTCCCATTCAACCAGAAACGTGCTCCACCGGCATACCGATTCTTCCAAGTTTTAATTCCTCGGGCTTCTGGTAACCGGTTCATAATCGATGCCGAATATCCGCTAGACCTCGGATTACCAAATCGGGAACGGAAGCGAATGACATAATCGCACGGGATGGATATGAAAACTTCGGATGGAAATTCGGAATCTCGTCAATTTCCAAGAATGTTGTATTCCTCTTCGCATGATGATGTTCTCATTCCATGCCGGCCACTCATCTCCACATGGCGAGGCCATAAAAGAACCCAAGCCGAAACGGGCCAAGATCAGAATTGCCTGCAATGTATGCAAGGCCAGGAAAACCAGGTGCGACGGAGCTAGACCAAGTAAGAGAGGCCAATAACATTGCTTGTCACACGTGGTGGAGAATTAAATTAGGCTCATCGTGCATTAGTCTGCGGTCCCTGCTTGAGACGGAAACGAACCTCGTATACCACAGCCTGTGAATACCGTGAGGGTGATATCAGTGAGCAGTCAAGCCGCACAACTGAGCAACTACCGGAAGACTCCTCACAAGCACAAGCCAATGATAATGACGATTCTGCCAGCAGCTTCAGTGAAGCTGTCCCGACCGGCGGCTTATTTGGTGCATCCAGTGGTGCGCACTTTCTTCAAGATGTCGGAAGTCAGCCAGGCGCAGCAAGTACCCCTACCAACCAAAGACAAATCCGGACCCCAGTTCTACCAAAGGCACTGAGATGTCTGCCGAAATTGCAAAAGCGCACCCAGAAAGCAAACGCCGATGTGCAATTTGCGGTTCCTCCAAGGAAGCAGGCAGACAAGCTTCTGAGCCTCTATTGGGACTATGTGGACAGCGCCTACCCTTGGCTAGACCGACCTTCAATTGAGAACGCATACGAGACCCTATGGGTTCATGACGGTAAACTGATAATGGATGAGACCGTCCTACATTGCCTTCTGAATCTCATGTTCGCCACATCTTGTGTCGCATCTCAAGGGGCAACCCCGCTCGACCGCTATCAGTCCTCGGTTGTGTTCTTCGACCGAGCTCAGGCGCTGATGTCGTACAACCTGATGGACATGTACAACATCGAAATTATCCAGATACTGTTACTCACGGCTGTTTATCTTCAGCATGAGAAAGAGCCCCAGAAGTGCTTCCGGATTATTGGCACTGCGATTCATGTCGCCCAGGAACTCGGATTACATATCCCCGAAACAACGGAGGGGATGGACAACCCAAAAGACCGAGACCTAGCGTGCCAAGTCTGGAATGGATGCGTTATCATGGACAGGTATGACACCGGAGCTGGAATCTTGAGTGTATACGCTGAAGCGATTTTAGAATCTGTGCCATGACTTTCGGCTGCCCCCTTAAGGTTCCTCGATCTGTCGCACAAGAAGGGCTGAACGCGCTAGTGCTCAGTTCCCAGGAATCTGGGAGTGATACTGTAACCGCCAGTCTACCATCGAAACTAAACTTTTACATGTCATTTTGCCGACTACATCACATCATAGCAGAAGTACTGGAGACATTTTACTCCATCCATGATAGCACGGTGCGAAACCATGTTTCCGAAAATCGCAACGACCGTGAGGGGAGCTGCGCAGTGCTTTTCGATAAAATCGCGAGCCTATTTCGCATCGATTCTGCTCTGAAACACTGGGCTCATGGCCTGCACCCCTTCTTCCAGATGCCGTCGGAACTGGAAGATCCAACGCCAACCAAGCACATCACTCGTGAAGCAAATATTCTACGAGCCAGGTCTGTTACTACGACCTTGACAAACATGTCATAAACATGACCACTGACGTCTCTTGTACACGAAGGTATCTTTCAGTCCGGCTTCTGCTATTCAGGATATTGCTGCTACAGATCCATCAACAGAAGGTAGAAAGTGCCCCCAGTACCGGTCTCTATGCAGACGATGACCAGATCATGCCCCACGTGGTTTTCCAATGCCAGGTGAACTGCACAAAGGCGGCCGTCGACATGATTGAATTCATCCTCCGGAACTCCCCCGGGCAGAAACAAGCGTATATCTTACCATCCAATTGGTATACTGTCTCATGTACGTTGCACTTTCCCCTAAGGAAGCAAAATTTACCAGCTAACCCAGGAAGATGTCTATATGGCTGTAACAAACTTGCTTGCCGCCCAGTCATCCCCGCAGCTTGTCGAGTACTTTTCTGCGGCTAGCTTGCAGAACATTCTGCAACATGCTCGAAACATTCTCAAGGATTACGAGAAACACACCACGCTGGCATCGAGATGCCGTTCTGTACTGGATCTGATTGAGAAGAGCATTGGTAGGCGGGAATCGATA